GGCGATGAAGGCCGACCAAGCTAAGCTTATTGAAGAGGCCAACCGGAAGGGTTGGGATGAGGCTAAGGCAAATTATTCTTAACAAGTGCTGGAGCTGAGGGATGGCTTATTTGCCAAGGGTTGGACAGAGGCCCTTCGTGCTGTTAGAATCGATGAGACTTCTGCTCTCTTCAAAGACATCCTCGTTCCATCTAAGACTGCTTCTACAAGGGTTGCTAAAACAAAAGAGACGTCAGTGGCTGAGACTTCGAAGGCCACCCATTCTATTTCCCCTATTCATCTGCCGAGCCCTATTTTTGAATGAGCAAAAACAACCTTGTGATGAGGCTTAGTAGCCCTTTAATTTTTTATTTATTTATTTTTTTTGCATTCTGTCACTTTTTCTTTTTTCTTTTTTTTGTGTGCAAGTGTTAGAGTTTGGCTAGTTAGACATCTTCATTTTGTAAGGTTGAGCTCCCATTTTTGTAATTGAAGCTTTATAGTAATGCCATGCTTTGTTGAATTTTTGTAAGTCTTGAACTTCAATCTTCAATTTTTGCTTGTATGTGTTATGCTTGCCCCTGGCCGAGCAGGAGCTCTGTTGTAGAGAATGAGGCCGCTTGTTCGGTCAAACTAGGTTTCATGGCTTAGAAAAATTAGAAGAAAGAACTTTTCATACCCCGTGGCTGAGCATAGACTCCGTAGAAAAGCAGGCCATTTGTTCGGTAAGACTAGGCTTTGTGCCTTAGAAAAATTTGAGAAAATAACATTCCATACCCCTTGGGCGAGCATAGGCTTTGTGGCCAAACAGACCGTTTGTACGGACAGAATAGGCTTTGTGCCTTAGAAAAATTAGAAGAAAGAACTTTTCATGCCCCCCGACTGAGCAGAGGCTTCGTAGAGAAGGAAGCCATCTGTTCGGTAAGACCAGGCTTTGTGCCTTAGAAAAATTTGAGGAAAGAACTTTCCATGCCCCCTGGGCGAGCAGAGGTTCCGTGGCTGAGCAGATCGTATGTTCGGACAAAATAGGCTTTGTGCCTTAGAAAAATTGGGGGAAAGAACTTTCCATGCCCTTCAGTCGAGCAGAGGTTTAGAGGCTATATAGGGCGTCTGATCAGGCAAACCAGGTTTTGTGCCTTAGAAATGTCTAGTTGGATTTGGCCGAGTATTTCGCTGCTCGGCCTTTACTTGATTCAGTCAAGCTTAACTCATCGTAGAGTGTAACTCGGCTCTTCGTTGAGCACGAGTTGTTACCATGGACCGTGCTTCCAAGTAACGATACTTGGCATAAATTCCACTAAGCTGTACCACTTGGCGTCCTACTCCAACCAAAGGGCCGAGTTTGCGGGCTGGGGCATAAGTTAAGGCTCGTAACCCATTCTTGCTCAATTACTGAGTAAAAATATGTACGACACATATAAAAAAGAACATAATTCATAAAGAAAGGTTGATTTCATTGATACTTAGAAAATTGCGATTACATTCGAAAGCTGTTTAGATCATTACATCACTGATTGTATTTTTTCAAGTTGGCAACATTCCAAGGACGAGAAATGGGTTTGCCTGCTAGGTCAGTCAGGTAGTAAGCTCTGTTGCCCAAGGCAGAGGTAACGTTGTAAGGCTCGACCCCAACTCAGTTAGGGTCGAGCTTCTTTTTACCAGAGTCCTTTTTATGATCCATGATCTTCCTTAGCACCAGATCTCCAGGTAAAAATTGTCTAATTAGCATATTTTTATTGAAACTTCTGGTAAGTTGTTACTGGTCTACTGCTAGACGAATGAGAGCGGCTTCTCTGCGCTCCTCTACCAGGTCAAGAGCTTAGGCAATAACCTTATCATTGTTTGCTAGTTCAAAGATTTCAGACCAAATAGTGGGAAGGCTGACCACTAAGAGAATGATGGCCTTCATCCCATAAGTGAGGGAGTAAGGCGTCTCCCCTGTCGATCGCCGTGGTGTTGTTCTATATGCCCACAGAACATTTGACAGTTTTTCCACCTATTTGCCTTTAGCCTTTTCCAGTCGTTTCTTTATCCCATTGATAACCGTCTTGTTAGACGTTTTAGCTTGACCATTGCCTTGAGGGTAGATTGGAGTAGAGTTGCTAAACTCAATTTTAAGTCGGAGCAAAACTTCCTAAACACCTTCCCATCAAACTAGGTGCTGTTGCCAAAGAGTAGGACCCTTGGGATGCCAAACCAAGTAATGACACTCATTTAGATGAATCTTTTCATGTCGGCTTCCTTGATGTTTGCTAAGGCCTCAATCTCTACCCACTTAGTGAAATAGTCGATGGCAACAACGAAGAACTGTTTGTTGGTAGTACCCCTTGCTAGGGGTCCAATGATGTTTAGACCCCATTGTGCAAATGGCCACGGGTTGGTAAGGGGAGTTAGGTATTTGGCTAGTTGATGAATGAGTGGAGCAAATCTTTGGCACTTGTCATATTTTCTAACATATTGTTGGGCGTCTTTTTGCATATGTGGCCACCAGTACTCGTGAGTGAGGGCTCGGTGTGCCAAGGACCGATCTCTAGTGTGGCTACCACAAATCCCCTCATGAATTTCAAAAAGCAAGTTTTCCACGATGTTGGGATGAACACAAAAAAGATATGGGCCGAGGTAAGACTTCTTGTAGAGCTTTCTAGAAGGTGAGACCAGGGCTGACCTTGAGATTTAGGGGGCCTAAGGCAAATTTCAGAAATGGAGGCCCTCTTACATTAAAAAAAAAAAAAGTTCATAGATAAAACGATAAGTTACAACTTTTTTATTTGTTTGTAGCTACAAAAAAATTTACTTGCACATATAATCATTAAAATTATAAACAAAATAATTTAATGAAACACAATTAGAGCAAAAAACTTAGGAAAAAATTATTCAATTAAAATTGATAAATATCTAGGTAAAAAAATTAGGGCAAAATTATTTATTCCCCTAAAATCTAATAGATAAAGAAGGTAAAAAAAATAAAATTATGGCCCATATATTATATGTATTGTTCTTCTTGGGCCCAAACATTTTTTTTTTAATATATATTTTCATTTTAATAAATATGGGTTAAACAATACATGGACCCAATAAAATATTTTGGGGCCCTTTAAATTGATTCTAAAAAAAACAAAAAAAAACAAACATTGGGCCTATGACATTTTATTAAATTTGGGGGCCTTATTTTTGGGCCAAAATTTTGGGGTCTAAGGCATAGGCCTTACTGGCCTTAGGCCAGGGTGGGTCCTGGGTGAGACCCAAAATCGCGCAGTTCGGTGCCTTATTTTATGTGCTTATTTCTTGTCATCTAGAAGGATGCCATTTTTGAGAAAAGTAAGGAGTTGGTCCATCCTGCTCGGACCGAGGTCAGTATAGAGGACTGAGCTAGCTGAATCGATAGTCAGTTGAGGAACAAACTCGATCCATATCTTGCGGCCATTTTTGGAATCCATCAAGAAGCCAAGACAGGCTAAGGCATTGGCATGGCTGTTTCCATCTTGGCCAATTTTTTCAACCCCTGATAGCTTGAACCTTCCAAATGAAGAGTTTGGCTTGTTTAACATAGGATGCCATCCGCTCATCGCAGGCTTCGTATACTCCAGTCAGTTGGTTCACCACAAGTTAAGAATCACTGTAGACAAGCAGTTCCTCCGCATTAAAGTGTTCGGCGCTGCGTAGACCGGCTAGTAGAGCCTCATATTTTGACTTGTTGTTGGAAGCTTTTCATCCTAGTCTAACGGTTTGCTCCCAAACAAATCCTTATGATGAAATGAGAACCACTCTTGCTCCAGAACCCTTTTGGGTTGAAGATCCATCAACAAACAGCTGCTAAATATCACCAATGAAAAGTTTTCATGCCTCAGTGGGAGTTTGATAAGTGTTGTGGACTCTAGTTGCTAGAGTCAAGCTCCCTTCGAAGTGGTTGGTCGGTCTTGGAGTAAATTTGACAATAAAGTCTGTTAGAACTTGAGCTTTGATGGTGGTTCGTGACTAGAATTTAATGTCGAATTCCCTCAACTCTACTGCTTACTTTTTTGTCCGGCCTGAGAAATCTGCTCGGCTGAACATAGACTTGAGAGGATACTCAATGAGGACAATGATGGTGTGCCCTTGAAAGTAGTGAGCAAGCTTCCTGGAGGCGATCAGTAGGACATATGCCAATTTATCTAAGGGCAAGTATCTGGTTTCAACATCCAGGATAGTCTTGCTAATGTAGTTTATTAGCTTTTCTTCATTTCCCTCTTCTCTAATCAAGACTGCACTCACAGTTTGATCGGAGACAGCCAAGTAGAGAAAAAGCTTTTCGTCAGGGATTGGAGTAGACAGAAAAGGATGAGAAGAAAGATACTTCTCCCTTCCCCTTCAGGGTCCATCACAATTCTCATTTTAATGATTTAAACTATTGATTTTGTAAGATTCTAAATGTATATTATTTATGAAAAAAATTAGATTAATCCGATAATTGTAATATTTATTATATCATGTTTGCTCCTAAAAATGAACGATAAGTATATTTTTGAAAATAAACTATCTAATTTTTTGGGACAAACAAGATAATATGAAAATGTTATATTTATCAAATAGATTTAATTAATTTCATAAATGTCAAATGATATACCCAAATAATTTTATAAAATAAATAATTTAAATTATCGAAACAAGACACTTGCAAATTTTATCAAATTCAACTCAAGTTGATCGGGTTAGGCCCACCAGTCAAAATGAGTAAAAACCATTACTTTAACCCCCCAGGCCCATTAACACAGCCCAATCCATACCAAAAAAAGTCCAGTCACCTGCGACCAGCATGCCCATCCTAAGGATTAGAATTTATAAGAAAGCCTAAAAAAACGGAGATCGCTAGTTTTTCTTTCACACTCTGTCTGTCCAGACTCATCACTGAAGAACACCGCCACTGAAAACCCTAGAAACCTCGAATGCAATTCTTCAAATCTCAGTTCAAATCGACCAATACGCTTTGTTTCTTAAATTACATGGTTTAGGGTTTACTGTGTTGTAGATTAGATTCAGATAACATGTGGAACAACGGTCAGATTGCGCCGCCGGGCACCGGCGGCTCCTCGATCCCGCCACCGCCTGCGGCGCAGCCGTCGTACACTGTTCTTCCGTCTCCGGCGGAGGTGGAGGCTCGTTTGGAGGAGAAGGCCAGGAAGTGGATGCAGCTGAATTCGAAACGGTATGGCGACAAGCGGAAGTTTGGATTTGTGGAGACTCAGAAGGAGGATATGCCTCCGGAACATGTTAGGAAGATCATCAAGTAAGTTATTTTTTTGGGATTTGGTAAGAGCTTTAATTGACTAAATCTGTTGATTCTGGCTACTAAATGTTCTTTTTAAGTATCTACATATATGCTACTGTTGAAATTGGGTAGAGCTTGTAACTGAAGGAAATCTAGACTTGAGGAAACCCTAAACAAGCTTCCGTTTTAGAGACCTTATGCTAAACATCAACACGAGGCATTTTTTTCACTAAGTCTTTGAAAAATTGGAGCTTTCAATATAAGATTATTTTTGAGATTCTTTTGGTAATGGTTGAGACACCTCTGGGGTGGGGTTAATTAACATTATTATTTATTGGCATGACACATTTTATGGTTTTATTTTTATTTTTATTGTTATTGTTGTTGTTAGAAATTAGATTTTTGTTTGGGGATATGTTATGTCCTCCTTCCCTGTTAGGTTTACGAGTTAGTTTTGGAAGTGTAAGTGTAATAATCTGGATTATGTCTGATGGTTTTATTTTATCTACAAGTTAGTTTTGGAAATGGCCTTTGATAGGGCCGTGGAGACGAAGGATTTATGTAGCTGATCCCATTTGATGGGATTTAAGGCAAGGCAAGGCAAGGCAAGGCTTGGCTTGGCTTGGCTTGGTTTGGTTTGATTTGATTTAGCTGAAAACAGGATTGTTTCCAGGATTACGTTTTTCTTTTATTTATTTTAAAAACGAGGTTGTTTTTCAACTTAATTCTTAAATGAAAGCGGTTTTGCTGAGAACATGTGTAGGAAGGCATGTTTAGAGAAAACACTTTTTATGAGTTCTGGCCTATAAAAATAATAGCTGCTTGAATAAAGTAATGGGTCACAATCATTTAAAAAGCGTGTTTGTGTTGATATGAGAGAGAGAGAGAGAGTCTGAGGGAGGCTGTTCACTGCCCAAAAGGTTTACATCAAACTAGTAGCAGAGAAAGCTGCTCATTACTCACTAGTAATACCCTAAAAGCTAGCCTTGTTAGAGTACAATGGAATATGGTGTTTGGTTTATGGTGCAAAGGCCCACAAAGAAAGACTTGTGGGGACCAAGTTTGATTGAGGTGGAGCCTTTAAATCCTCTTGAAGTTAGGTTCAATGGGCAAGCCAAGAACCGGATGAATGCAATCCACATCGGCAATGGTGGATTTGATGCTATGGTTTGAGACAATGGTCAATCGAAGTCTCTCAATCTCAATGGTTATAGGTGGGAAACCTTTTAATGGCTAAAGGGTAAGGTAAAAAGTGTGTTTAGTAAACTCACTTTCAATGTAAATTTGAAAGCATGTTTATTAAATATACTTTAAGGGGTTGTTTGTGATGACCTAAATAAGTGCACTTTTTGTCTTTTTACGAAAAGATGTGCAGAAAAGTAGAGAGGTGATGTGATGGAAAAAAAATAAAAAGATAAAAAGATGGATTATTTTGTAGTAGCCAAACTTGGCCTTAGAACAATGTGTAGGTCACACTTCCATATTTACAATAAAAGCTTGTTTAGTGAACATGTTTTCTAACTGAATTTGTCCATTATTTTATTCCTATGGATATTATTATTTTAATGGGAAAATACTCATTGAAAGCGTGTTTGGTAAACATGTTTAGTAAAATCAATTTCATGTAATTTAGGAATCAAGTTAAAAAAAGAAACTATTTTTAAAAATTAAGTTTTAAAGCTTTTGTAGATTTTGTGGAGGATTTGATTAGATAGTTTTTGGCCTTTATTTTTGTATTCTTTTCATCAGCTTGATGCCTTTTCAATAAAGTTTGGTTATTTATAAAAAAAAAAAAAAAAAAAGTTCTAAAGAGCCATTTTGGGTAACAAGCCCTGGAAACATAGGAGGTCAGGATGAGAAAGTTTGAATCTGTTCTATTTGGTTGACGTTCGTTGTGTGGTAGCTTTAATAGATGCTGAAGATAAAATTATCATTTTCTAGAAATGGGTTGTGGTATCTATCTATCCTTCAATCCTTGACCTCGTAGTTGAGGGTTCATCATATAATCATATTGCCCTACCAAGAGGCTAGAAGGGCTGATATAGAATTGTCCATTTCTGTGTGATAAGAGTGTTGAGAGGCTGGATATTGGATACTGATTCAAATTCGCTCATACTCCTGTTAGTGATGGATGATTATGGACTAGTTCAATAGGGCTAGGTTTTAACTTAATTTTCAAGTTATGCCACTTCATCAGTATTAGTCTATTAGATGTGATTCTGAAGCTCATATCCATTGTAGAAGGAAAAAATTATATAATGTATAAACTGCATTTCTCAAATGTATATAAAAAATGCACAGCTCAGGGATTGCTAACAGTCTCTATAATGGAGTGACATTAGCGTTGAGTCATTGACCATTATTTTCAGTTGGACCAATATAGTCCTAGTTTGAACCTTAATATTTAAATTACTTAGGACTAAGATGTAGTGATTCTTCTTTTTCTCTTCTTCTCTTGTTAACTTTATAAGTGAGTTCAGTTTGTGAAATGGGCTTTAGTTTGCTTTTTGTGCATACGTCTAGTAGTGTATGAAGGTTGCACTCCTAGCACCTTTAATAGATAATCTTTTACTTATTTAAAAAAAAAAAAAATACTTGGGAGCATTTCATGAATTTTTAATTTTTCAGTCCCTCTTTGGTAGCAGCAACTCCTTCACTCAGTGGAAGAATGAAATTTTTTCCACGCCACAAACAAAAGAAGATTCTCTAATTCTCTCTCCACCCCTCCAGATTCCCACCCCATCTCTCTCTCTCTAACATCCTCTGATCAGTTCAAATTTTGGCGACCGCAGTTCATAGCAGACAAAATTCACCATCACCATTGACATTGCGGCATCACTTTTGGGTGCATCCTTTAGTTGCATTGCTAGAAAATAGTGAACTCCGTCCATGAGTCGATGAGCCAACGCCATGAACCCTTATGATCACTGCCCTAGCACACTTTCGTCAGTTGCAAACTGCCACTCCTCCAAAGCTTTATCTTCCTTCACTGCTACCAAGCACAAATAGAGCAAACTTATAAAACAAAATTTAGAGAGGTGGAGAGGGAAAGGGAGAGGAAGGGAGAAATTTTTAGTCGATTGTTTCCCGGTGAATCAACGAGATAACAAAGATAGATTATAAGAAAATGTGAAAAAAAAAATGAAAGTACAAAAATGCCGTTCTTATTCAATTGACAAGAGCATTTAATAAGGTATTTTGGTCCAACTAAAAATAGTAGCCAATGCTAATGTCACTTTATTGTAGGGGACATTAGCATTCTCCAATTTGTATATATCATAATAAGTTCTGATTTCCTATACAATAGCTTCGAAGTATTTCTTAGGCAATCTCGCTGTGTCAATTTGTCTTATTTTTTTTATGAGGATTTGTACCGTTAAGTTTTACTGTCTGAGAGTGTTAAAAATGTTGAAGGTTGTCTTTTTGTAATTCTTTGCAACCCAGCTTTGACCTGGTAACCATGAGTCCATGATTGCCAACTTTATATCTTGCCAAACTTTAGCAATATGGTTCCTGCTGCCACCACCACCACCACCACCGCCTTAATAAATCTCTTTTTGGCGTACAGATTTCTAGCACCACCACCGCAACCTCTAGTTTTGACACTATGTTAATGGTTACTTTCATCTCTCAGCCGAAATATTACAACCATCTGTATCCCCATCTTTGTAGGTCCAATTCTCTTTGGATATTCTCATTTCAGAAGTTTAATATGTCCAGCAGATATGAATTCTATATTGTACTTCCATCACCTGAAAGCTAATAGTAATGAGAAATAAATTGCACGATTTTTAAGAGAGAAAAATGGAAGTAAATGTTCAGCATTTATTGAGAAGTATGTTGTCTACTTATCTTTATGCGGTTGATGCATGGAGGGTAAGAACTCATTTTCTCTTCTTTGAATGATTTGTCATCTGGTGTCCACGACTCATTGGGTTTTAGCTTTGATTGTTCTGGCTGTTGATAGTCAATCTGTTGTTGGTGCCTGTTATCAGCTGGTCTTATATTATTTATACACGTTCCCTTAATTTAATATCAGGAGTCCCATAATTATGATGTTTTGTTTTATTTGCCAAGTGGAAAATCTACCTCTGGATATTCTCAAATTAATGGTTTTGAATTCTTGGTTTCTTATTTTTTGGAAGCTATGTGGTTCTTTGTACATTCTTGCTGAATTTTGGAGCCGTATTAACAGCTTATCTCTAACATAACCCTCTTTGTGGCAGTCATATATATGCATAATATAGTAAAGTTGGTTCAGATGGCTGCTCAGGGTGAATTAATTGTTTAACACAATGGTCTTGTACAGGGATCATGGTGACATGTCCTCAAAAAAATTTCGTCATGATAAACGTGTTTATCTCGGAGCCCTAAAATTTGTTCCACATGCAGTTTACAAGCTCCTAGAGAACATGCCAATGCCTTGGGAACAGGTCTTGATCCTCTCTTCCCTTCAATATGCTTCTTTTTTTATTTTCATGGTAGGTATGCATTTCTGGTCTTGACTGATCTTGTCATTTTTTGTAATTATAGGTTCGTGACGTGAAGATTTTATACCATATCACTGGAGCCATCACATTTGTGAATGAAATACCATGGGTTGTCGAACCTATTTATTTAGCCCAGGTATGTTAGTTCTCTCTCTCTCTCTCTCTCTCTCTCTCTCTATCTATCTCTCTCTCTACATATATATATATATCTTATTTGGTCATCATAGTAGGTTGAAGGCAATATGAAGCTCAAGCAATTATGGTCTATGTTGTCATTTCTGAGTGA